GGCAGAAAATTTGGGACAAACTTTCTGATCGTTTCTTGGTTTCATTAATGACCACAAGGAATGGGACAGACTTTCTGATCCTTTCATGGTTTGATTGATTACCTGAAAGAACGGGGCAAACTTTCTGAACACTTCCTTGTCTGATTAACGACCAGAAAGTATGGGACAAACTTTCTGATCGTTTCTTGTTTTTATTACTGATATATTTTAGTAAGTGCAAACATCTATTAGCCCAATCTAGCAAGATGGGAGATTCTGGACGAGTTGTGTCTTTGTTTGTAATAGCTCGGCCATAAGCACATCGATGGTAAGATAAAAGAAGGACGTACATTACAGAAACTGTCTCACATCGATGGTAAGATAAAAGAAGGACGTACATTACAGAAACTGTCTCACATCGATGGTAAGATAAAAGAAGGACGTACATTACAGGAACTGTCTCACATCGATGGTAAGATAAAAGAAAGACGTACATTACAGAAACTGTCTCACATCGATGGTAAGATAAAAGAAGGACGTACATTACAGAAATTGTCTCACATCGATGGTAAGATAAAACAAGGACGTACATTACAGAAATTGTCTCACATCGATGGTAAGATAAAAGAAGGACGTACATTACAGAAACTGTCCTTATACTCGTCTTGTTTCTATGTATGTGTGTTTTTTTAATGTCCAAGAAGTAATTTAGGATAATTAAGAGCTCAGACAGTTTCTAAATATCATGTTTTCCAGTCCAATATTTTAAAGTCGTTATGGAAACGTGGAGAAAGCGCCAGAAAAGTCTACCGGGAAGAAAAGAAAGTACATCTTAATTTTAATGTTATGTTACGAAATGTCATAGCGCTCAAGTGTCGTTGGCCTTTGTGTGGTTGTACTTGCATTTTCATGTGAAGTTGTTATTATATGCGTTTTATAATAATTGAGTTAATTTCAAATGCTGGAATTCTTTTGTTAAACACATTTTAAAAGCGCGTGCGTGATAAACAACGTATTATATATTCCTAACGGATGTTCGTTTCCTCTATTGTTTATTCATTATACTTTGTCTATTATTATTTTTTTTATATTAATAATATAAGGAATGAGCTGGTTGTTTCACCTTATATTCAAAATCTTACCAATAAGAGTGGGAACATTAAGGAATAAACGCATCATTATTTTCATCTATGTTCAACAGAAACAAATATGCACACAAAATGGCGTTTGAGTTTCTAATTCCAAAGTATTTCATAAAATGTATAAAAACGCCGTTAAACACATACCTAATCAATAAAACTTAATTGTAGTTCTTGCTTCTCTGTGGACTTTTTTTCTTCTTCTTCTTTTTTACAGGCGACAGTTCATTTAATATAGCTTACTTTCAAATCCGTTGGGCTGTTCGGTGAAAATCCACAAACATCAACCTCGTTTTTCGTATATACTTCTCAATAATAACGGCCAAAATATGTCAATTTTAACATTGCAACACAACCACGAGTTTCAAAAAAAACAAAAAACTTAGGCATAACCATTTTAAGATGTAATTATGAAGCAACATATATATTTTCCTTAAAACTATATATATAACATCGATAATTAGCTGTTTCAACGCTTGCTAAGTTGCAAGAAACTTCAAAAATACAATTTCTGAGGCTCGAGTTATGCAGTAAAAAATGTATATGTATTCGTTAGTTCATATATATATAAAGCTTGTATTTATGTTATTATGCTCTAACTAACGGTTAGAGCATATATTGTTTATGCCAAGTAGAAAATGAATATTAATATTCAAATTCGTTTTTACAAATAAAGTACCTTTAGTTTTTCCTCTGAACAAAAAGGCTTCTTTACTGCCCAGTTGTTCTTCTGACTCAGCACTCAGTGTAAAATTATTTGCTATTACTCCACCTTCATTGGTCAGTATTGAACCCTATTATTTTCATCGTTCGTGTTGCAACATTAACCTAACTTCGCGATAACGAAATATCTACGTTTCAATGTAACAGGTGGAAAACCAAAAGCCAATGGTTCTTACCAAATGTTTAACTAACGCTGACTTATTGTTCCTCACATTATCCCGACCCAACTCCTGCCAGTACTGTGGACCGGATGGAATAGAATCGTTTGCGCATGGCTGAACAAAGCATGTGCTTCGCATTAAGTCAGTGTTCCTAAATAACTCCTATTAGATAACGACCCATCATTATACATCTTACAAGATGTCAGTAAATTTTATTTATTTGTTCATCATTCTAATGACGCGTTGTTAAGTCACGGCTAAATTCGAAAAAATATTGTAGTGCCCTCTGATGGCGAAGGTTTTCATTATAAAACTTGAAAGCTGAAGTTTTTTATTTCTTAACGTTGTCGTTAGTAGCTTCGGTCCTATATCTTCGCAGGTTTATATTGGTGTTGTATTTTCTTAGTTTAGTGGAGAGAAAGATTTTGACCAAATGACCAACTAGCGCTTTCCATAAGATTGCTTGGAAATTGCCGCCATAATTTGGAGATTTCACCCCAAATCGACAAATAAAATAAACCATTATTAATAAAAACAGGTCTTCTGAACTATCCTGGCAATATTTTAGCTTTTCTAACCCTTAAGGGGTCATCACATTTAAACACCAGCTTTACGCTCGAATGACTTTAAACGACCATTTGTTTCCATTTTAATCGTTTCTGCTTCACTTCATTTCTCTAGCCTATGGCAATGGCTGTGGGACGTGAATAAGATTAGATTTTCATTCACATAGTTAAAAGTCCCTTTGGAGAATCGATAGAGTATCGTTATCTATTTTTCAATGCCAAAAATTGTTTGTCGAAACGTTTTATTTCTCTGTTATTATAACTATGAATATGTTGTTGTTTTTAACCTCTATTTTTTAGACATTGTTAATGTTATTGAACCATGACCAAAGAATAACACTGTCGGATAAGTTCATCAGTCTTGATTGAGTAGAAGAGGTTATTTTCGAAGCCCTCAAAGTTCGCCAATTCTTGAAAACAGCCTTGTTAGATTGTTGGCTATATTAAGTCTAACAGGGATGTAAAAAATATATAGCTCTCACTTATATTTTTAAGCACGTCAGCGTCAAAATAAAATACAATAAAGCCACATCATGTGCAATGTTGATGTCACATCAAATTAGGATCTTGTGCAATGCTGACGTCACGTAAAAATTAAATTTTGTGCAGAGCTGACGTCAGACCAAAGCGAAATCTTGCACACTGTTGACGATAAAACGTACACGTGTAAAATCGTGACCGAGGAAGAAGAAAGAGATTATGAAAGAGTTTATAATAAAGCATGATGCGAAACTTCGTGGTAGTTACTGGAAATCGTTAGTAGCTATTGTAAGTGATTACGTTTCTTCTACTTTATTTTCTTGTTTCATTTACTTTCATCTTTTACTTATGTAATTTGTTCTAATTTTTACATTCCACACACTTTTATCTTTTATTATATTTTATCTTCAATTTATTTTATTCGTTAGTTTCTCTCACCTTTCGATCTTTTTATATCACCCTCTCTACTGTCACTATTTATACCTTAGCATTTTTCCAATTAATTTGCCATTTGTTACTCTTTGACATCTTATTCTATAAAGGTAAAAACCCATATTTTTTTTTAAACTAATTTGTGGTTCTTTTGTACATTTCTTAATTTAAACACCTATTTAAGTGTGGAAGTGTTAGAAGACTTGTTTATATATATATATATATGCCCCCCCAGTGGCAAAGCGGTATTTCTAAGGACTTACAGCGCTAAAAAGAGGGTTTCGATACCCGTGGCAGGCAGAGCACAGATATTCCATTGTGTAGCTTTGTTCTTAACTACAAACAAACAAACAAATATATATATATATATATATATACAGACATACACATAGTGCTTAATGTGTGTGGAATCTCCCCGTATCTGAGAATCGGAAACTGTTTTGAATTTGGATTTTAATCTAAAAGCTGAAACGTTATAATTTATTCAAGACTGCCTACGTTGTGTTGCGCATTTGTATTTGATTAACGTAGTCAACTACGTTACTCCGACCTCTGGAGCTATAGCAAATAGTTCAATAATATTTAAATTCTTATATTTCATTCTAACTCACAATTTTAATGCCCCTTCTTTTCTTTTGCTATCTTTATTTTCTTTATCTTCTGTTTTTTTTCATCTAGAATCTCAGCTCCGTATTCCCCTCCCCAACCTCTCGTTTAATTCAATACGTAATCGTGTGTGTTAGAATAGAATCAGACTAGAGGCTAAATTCAAACCTCTACCCAACAAACTATAACTATATTTCTGATCTCTATATCAGTAGAATTGAAGAAATTAACATGAAGCTGATACACACACGAGTTTGTTAGAACTCCTGCTAGAAATTATGAATTTTGTTCTACCTCGTTTGCCATATCTTTAGAAAACCCTACGTGTGCTCAAAACAATGTGTACGGTGCCTTTATAATGATTGAAGAAAGCGATATAAACCGGAAGATACAAGTATAACAATAACGGACAGGTGGAGCAACGAATAAAACTAACTGTTAGCCTCTATTAGAAACTTTACTGAACTGCTAAGAGCAACAGCTGCTCTTTCTTGCAACATAAAAAGTGCGTAAAATAATTATCCTCTTCATTCTGTTTTCTAGATAACATCAGTTTCAGAGTGTAACAGTGTATTTCCTATTTTTTGTCTTTCGCCCCTAGTAAAAGTTTAAGTCAATCTTTACGGAGTGAGAAAACAGATATGGTAGCCCATGCTCCAAAAGTTGGGTTTGGGCCACAGTAGTGTCGTGGGCTTCTGCCAAGCCATTCAGCAAGCACTCCGTGCACTGGGGAACGCCCTTCTTTTCAATTTCATTCACTGAAGTTGGTTTCTTATCAGAGACTCCAGCAACGAGAGTCAGATTCGGTGTATCGCTCGTGCCGAGGCAGCGGAACATCTCGCCCGTTTTGAAGGTAGACCTTGGACGAACAACGGGGAAAGTGATCGGTTTGTCTGTTGGTACGTCACTAGACCTTGAGATCACCAGCATTTTTACGGACACCTCAAGCGTTTCATACCTGACGGTAACAGTGCTACGCGCTTATTTCCAACTCGGGGCGGTTGACGAATGTCGTGCTTTCCGTTTGGCCCACTTCCGGTTGGTTGAAGAAAACCATTTGCGTCGTCGATCTAGAACTAAATAATCCAATGGACTTGTGTGAGGCGACATCAAATTTCGTTTTATTCGCGGGCAAGAATGATGACTTGTGATAACTGCCGCTGGCAAGTTTCTTTAAAGTGAGATTCAGGCGTACCTGGAGCCAAGCAGGGCGTACACTAATGGTGGATATGGCACCAGCCTTGACGGTAACACTTGTTCTGTAGGTAGATTTAAGCTTAAATCTAGGTTTTATCAGGAGCTCTTCACGCCTAAACATACTGGAGACCCTGCCTTAAGCTTGAACTAAGTTGTTGTAGGCGGAGGCACTAGGAAGATTTAATCACCAATAATTTTCACGTTACGTTAGATTTTGATAACTTCTTCTTCTTCTTCTTTGAATATTTGTTTACATTTTCTAAGTTTGTATTATTACCACATATGCTAACTGATTATTACCATCTGTGGTAGTGAACTTTGACACGCATTGAAGAAGCGTACCAAATTATCTTGTTTTTTTTTTGTTTTTTTTTAGTTTTACGTACTGCAACAAACTGTATAGTTTCTTAATCACGATGGAGTCTTGAAGCAACTTTTAAAAATATTTTAGATGTGATTATAATGGATTACTAGTGTGATAATCTGTCAGTATAATGTTCGATTAATTCTAATGATGTAAATGGAGTTTCGGCTGGAGTTGTACTTTTGGATCATTACTGCGAACAACTTGTAGGATTAATAGGATGAACAGATCTTATTTCAAAATTACATATATGTATATGGCTTACTTGTTTAAGAACCGTTTCAGCTTGAGTTACATAATGGGATTACTGTTACATCCGTTTAATTTGAAAGTGTATTATTTGGTTAACGACGGAGGTTTAGTTACCTTTCTATGTCGCAGTATCGTGTTGTTAAAAGGTCTTTAATGGACACTGTTTCTTGTTATACTTAAAATATATGCTCCTGTTCGTAAAATCACTCATTAATCTCCAGTGAGTAAGTATACGTTAAGAAATTTTTATTACTAAAAATTAAAAAGGGGCTGTAAGTAATGTCATTCCCAGACGTCTTTGTTCCATTTTTTTATAAATATAGTATAAATTTTATATTTTATAGAGGACTCTTACGATGCATCATGGAATTGTTATTCTATACAGCTCTTTCTAATTTGTTTTATAACCTGATAATTTTTTGGAAGTCGTTACACCAGGGAACCCTGAAATCTTAAAATTAAAACTTATAATTATATTTATTTCGGTAATTATGACAACTGAAAAAACCTGAGGAATACTAACTAAACGTATCTATTTAAGATTGCACCCCACGTAAAAAAATTTAATATTTTCATGTGACATGTATTATCTTTGTTTTTACATTTTCTCCCCTTCACTGATTGTTCGGCGTGACATGTGACTGATTTTGTGTGTGTGTGTGTACTGGTCTGTATATATACCTTTAACAAAACGATAAAATCACGCCAATGTGTACAGGTTAAAGGTGAGAACACACTTACATTTCGCAATTTCTCTTCAGACCAATAAAAAAAAAAGATTTATTTAGGCTTAAAGTATGTACGAAAGTCATGGTGTGTTTTTTGTTTTTTTATCTAGATTTTGATCACGGTTTGTTAGAATGTAAAATATGTGTTTTTTTTGTCGATCACTTTTTAAGTATACTTTATATATTTTTTACACAGATGAATCAGCTGTGTAAAGTGTGCGGTGAACCGGCAGCAGGCTACCACTTCGGTGCTTTCACGTGCGAAGGATGCAAGGTAAGATTATAAAACAAAGTTGCTGCGGTTTCTCGTTTAAGCTGCGTGTCACCCTCAAATGTTATGTTTTCATAGAATTACTAGACAATAACTATGTACATTCACATTCATATTACGATGTAACCAATAAGGCAGGAAAACATAACAACCTTAAGATATAATAAAGAGTCGTTTTAAGTTCGTGATCGATATTTTGTTGTACACATCACGCACACAGTTGATATTAGGATTGCACAAAGTTTTGCAGCTTGGAATGTATTGAAGCGCCGTGTCACTTGTATCCCACTTTTTTAGTTATAAAGGAAAGCTTTCTTTGCTGATCCTTGTAAAAGTTTATTTGTGCAATATTTGCGTTAGTATTTGTAAACAAGAAACACTAACTCAATTGCTTCAGTCCAACCAACTGTAAAATGGGCACTACCGGGTACCTGGGGGTTAACGGACGTTTCAACCAGAAGGAAAGTATTACCATTTTCATCCGATTATGCCACAGGAAACAGGAGTTAAGCTCCGGCTCAGTGGCGTAAGTATGCCCCTGGAATTGCGAGGGTCCCGAAGAGCCTGAACAACTTAATAATTGCAGAAAAGGAGAGAGACATACGATTTGATTTTGTTAAACTAAAGAGCGATTGAACTATTCTGTTAAGTTAATGATATCAATCAGCCAGAATCGTATATACAGTTATAGGGAAATATTTGTAGGGGGCCAAATTACTTTTTCTTGCGGGGGGTCCATATTTTGTAGTTACGCCACTACACCGGCCTTAAGTACCTTTCAGACACGAAAAGAATTAACTTACTTACTTACTTGTAGAAACACTTGATGTATCGTTAAAAATTTAACCATTTGTGGTTTAACTGCTAAAACAGTGATCAAAATCAAGTTATAGTCGTTTTTTAAACATGTGTTTTTATTACAACTATTTTTGTGATTCTAATGTATAAACACCAAGTACCTACAGTGTACTGACCACGATTACTATGAATCTGTTTCTTAGTCTTAGCACAAAACTCGCGGACGTGGCCATATATTATAAATGTATAGGTATCGATAAAAAGAAGAATTTTTTTCCTCATCAGATCTATAAAAAGTAATTCTTCTTTATGTGTAGTTTCAGGTTTGTACTTTCTCTAAAGAGTTCGTCTGTAAAACTAATTAATGCTGTTATAACAGAATAGAACAATAAAAACAAAACTGATATTACGGTTAAAATGCTTCTTTGAGTAAGTTTGTGTGAAACTCCAGATCCAGTCATTATTCACACTCAAGAAAACGGTTCTCAGTCTCTGGCCCAAAGTTATGTTTTAGTAAACATATACGTGGTATAAACCTGTGTCGCCGCCAAGTGGACACTTAAAAGCAAGACGCAAGTGTCCTACTTTAAACTGATATGAACACTTTTGTATATTTAACATCAAATTAGCCGTATTTTTGCATATTTTGAATAATTAACATAAACTTTGCCGCATTTTTGTATATTTAACGTAAACTTTGCCATATTTTCGAAAAAAAAAACGTTAGTGGATTTGTTTATGAGAATCAGAGAAATATTTAAATTAGGCCACCTGAAATACATAAAAACTTACTCTTGACTCAGTGGACTATATTCTGATTGGCTGTTTTATTTTTTTAAAGCGATGGCACAATTTGACAACTTCTATCGAAAGTCTAGATGTGTTCAAACCTTAATGCTCGACCTAACCTGGCTCTGTAATGTATCCAGTTCACGTAATTATTATTATGCAAACGTTCCTGCTTGATATTCCAAAGAAATGTAGTTCACGGCAATTCCAGTCGCACAAAAATTCCTAAGACGCCAGAATCATCTTTATGCAACGCTTTATTTGCTATTCATACGAAACGTACAATCTCGCATAATGTTATATTTGACCTTCGATCCATCCACTTTTATGGACGTCTTTCGCAACCTTATATGAATATATTCTATTTTAATATGATATGACGGCGTAGAAAGCAACCTTTTTATATTAGTTTCACAGTTAGTAATGAAGTCTTTATAAAAATAGAATACACCCAATCATCGTATTTGTCTAAAAATCTCGTGATAGAATACATTATAATTAGCTATGATATCGGTATCGTATCTCTATATTAATGAAATTACATGAATAGTGGGCAAGCTAGAAAGTTCAAACAAACATCTGTATTTAAGAAAAGTTATAAAATTTTGAGCTTGATTCTCAGAACTTATGAAAGCAAAAAAATAATAATACTAAATAAATAAAAGAACCTGGTTTGATATGTGTTTGATATGTCAATCCCACTACATCTGCCATATCCAATGCGATCAAATCTTAGCTAATTTATTCTTTTCATATTCTTATTGCCTTGCATAACAAACTTTTTGAAGATACAGGTAATGAAAGGTAAACAAGTGAGAGAATTACGGTATATCAACAGACAGAAACAACCGGAATAGCGTCTTGTTGCCCAGATGAGAGCCGTTGCATCAAGGGCGACACGTTTAACACCCGAATATTCGGTTCACTGCGAATATTCACACATTTGACAGTGCAGGACCACCAGGATTGAACTAAGGCTAGAAATATTTGTAAATCTAGACTGTTAAATGATGTAAAGCTAAAGGACACTCCACTTCAATGATCAGATCTTTCAATATTTTCTGTGGAAGTGAAAAAATTCATACACGCTCGCACTACATAACTTTTAGGACCGTGACGGTTTCCATAGCACATATCAAGTCAACCCAGAGCAGTGCTCTCATACGCGAATGGAAGTTACGAAGGAGAACCCTCTGACCCCCCCTTAGGAAAAAGGCTTTAAAACTGTGCAATGCTCGTGGCACTGACAACAAGCAACAAGATAATAAACACGGATTTGAAGTTCACGAAGATTCACAAACTTACAGCTTCACATCGAAGTCTACAGCTGTTTTCATGAGAAATGTTGTAAAAGAAATTAGAATCATAGCAGTCGTATTCGACCACATTTGTGCTTTTTATCAACCCTTTCCATTCCACGGGTTGAAAAAATCTTTGTACAGAGGTTACAGATCGTGGGGAATGTACAGACATGTAGCGTTGTTTCTTAATTTACTTCATTTCTAACACACTTACGTATTAAACTTTTATCAATTTCACGAAAATTGAATGTTTCACAGTACTTTTCTCTCTCTCTCTTTACTGGATGTTTTGCAGACCAACAAACACGTTTACAGACAGGTACCGGTCCACGAACCAGTGGTTGGAAACCATTGATCTAAGTTTTCTGTTTGTTGAAGTGTATGCAATGCTGCATGAGGACCATCTGCATCAGCCGTTTCTAATTTGGAAGTGATAGACTAGGCATCTAGTAAACACCATCTACCGCCAAATGTTGTTAGGCCGAATATTGTAAGTTTACCGTCAATTATATAATGCATCCACGGCTTAAAAGTGTGTTTCGCGATTTTTATTTATTTTATGGTAACGGGACGCGAACCATGAAACCTCAAATCTAAGGTGCGACATACTAACCACTGGATAGCGCTCGACGTTCTTTGTAGAAGTTTCTAACAATGAGATTCTTAGCATCAGGCAACAGTGTATAATCATGGTCATCAGCACATTTGACGACGCAGGAATTTCCTCTAAGTGCCGCAAGGGTTCTGGAACATCGTTCTTATAAAGAGTCTCAGTAGATTGATAGAGAGGTCGAACTGCAGATGTATGTATGAGCTTAGGATTCATTTATGAGAATAGTTCAGTTTAGAAGTGGAAACTGATAAAACTGTGGCAGCTTTAATAAGGTTGTTAATTCATATTTTTAAAGTTGTCAAATGAGCCTTCCATAGAAGAAACACAATTATGAATGATCAGTAGAAACTAAACTAAGACAATAATAAATTAAACATTCTTCTTTTTTGTTAACTACATCCGGGAACTACATCCCTCATGCCCTTCTTTTTTGTCCCCTAAACTCCTGCAACAAGTGCATTGAAAGCTGTAGGTTGAGATCGTCTTCCTGAAATAGTGAGAAACATTCTCGTTCCTATGACCAACGCTACAACGGCAGAAGACAGATGACACTAAAGAAATG